TTATACAATTTCTGACTGATGTCTCTTCTTGAAAGTTTCCAGTGATGAAGCTCCCATAACTTCTGAAGGCAAGCTATTCCATTGGTTGATTGCTCTCAGGGTCAGAAAATTTAAAAAAATCAGCTCTGAAGAAGTTTCTTAAATGACAAGTGAAACGTCTTCCAAGAAAAACCCAGAAAGTCCAGTTGCACCTTTGGATCAACCATGACGTGGATGACTGAAAATCTACATAGACTTTGGAGAATAGGTTGACACACACACTCCCTTCTCTCTTGCAGACCCTCAAATATTGGAAGACCACGATCTGAGGACAGGACAAGAAGCAATGGGTGGAAACTAAACAGAGAAGCAACCTAGAACTAAGGAGACATCACCTGACAACTGGAATAATTAATCAGTGGAACAACTTGCTTCCAGAAGTTGTGAATGCTCCAACAATTAGAAGTTTTAAAGAAGAGATTGGATAACCATTTGTCTGAATGGTAGAGGGTTTTCTGCCTAAGCAAGGGTTGGACTAGAAGATTTCCAACTCTTATTCTATTTCAATTTCTATCGAATCTTTTCATTAGACTAGATATACCCAATTCCTGCAACAGAGGAGCACAGCCCCTTAGAACAGAGGAATTTGGGATCTAATATCAGTTATCGAGGTCTCCATCCATGCAAGAGTTCCAGTACTCAATCCTGGAACTAGCTTGATTGTAAAAGATTCCTTAACACTTTTTCCCCCTTCCAGATCTTACCACGGTCGGAGCAGTATCCCGGGATGCGTAGCCTGGTGTTGGTAAAAATGTTCAAGCCGAATTCCTACCAGATGAAGCAAACAAGCCATTGAGGAACAGTCCTTTCTGCTCATGAAAACTACTTATCAATGTTTATTTTTCAGTACGTTCTAATATACCCAACCACAAGGAATATATTATTGTCCCAGTAATTTTTTTTCATAGCGATGCATCTTCAGCATGTGCCACTTAAAGGGACAGACAAGGAACAGATGGAAATTGGCATTGTCAACCGCCACCTATAGCCAGAAAGCCAATCCTTTGATGGGTCTGTGGCAGAGAAGCAATGGGAGAGGCATTTCACAGCTGTTAAACTTTATCACGTCCCATGATGTCTCGGGATGTTTTTTACCTTTGCAGAGCTGAGGTAGGCATAGCCTGTATGTGATGCATCTGGCCTGTAGGCCATCAGTTTGACAGGCCTGTCTTAGCAGATGGCAGCTCTTGGCTGATAGCAATAGCACGTAGAATTATATACCATCTCACTGCTTTTCAGCCCTCTCTGAGAGTCAGAGAGTTTACAGAGTCAGCACATTGCCCCCAACAATCTGGGTCCTCATTTTATCCACCTCAGAAGGATGGGCCGGTCAGGTTCGAACTCCTGGAGTGAGCAAAGAGTTAGCCTGCAATACTGCATTCTAACCACTGCGCCACCATGGCTCTGGTGCTATATCAGCTTGGAAAGTAAATTAATACAGGTAGGTCTCTACTTACAACAGTTTGTTTAGTGACCATTCAAAGTTGAAAGAAGTTACTTACGATTGTTTTTCACACGCCCATTACAGCATCCCCTTGGTCATATGATCAAAATTCAGATGTCGGGCAACTGACTCATATTTATGACAGTTGCAGTGACTTGGGGTCAAGTCAATGGGGAAGCCAGATTTATTTAACAACCATGTTATTAATAGCAATATCACTTAGACTTTTATGCCACTTCATAGTGCTTTACAGCCCTCTATAAGAGGTTTATATACTGGCCCCAACAATCTGGGTCCTTGTTTTACTGACCTTGGAAGCATAGAAGGCTTGACCTTGAGCTGCTCAAAATCGAACTCATGGAGTAAAAAGTGAGTTAGCCCACAGTACTGCATTCTAACCACTGTGCCACCATGATTCTTAACTGCTGTTGCAGTAATCCACTTAACAATTGTGGCAAGAAAAGTCATAAAATGGGGCAAAACTAACATGTCTCCCTTCGCAATAGAATTTTGGGCCTCAATTATGGTCATAAATTGAGGACCAGTGTAAAGTCAGATTAAATCCCAGGGCAAATGGTTAGGAAGGGCAAACCATTTAGAAAATAAGGAAAGTATATCATGAATGAAGGCAAATACACGTGTCCCAGGATAATGTTGCAGGATCCAATCTCGGTCACCGGGACAAGAGATTTTGTCTTCCGAGCTTTCGGACTCATGCTGGCACCCATCTTCAGGGAACATCTCTCTACCAGAACATGTGCTGGTCTCCTGAGGATGGGCTCCAGCACAAGACTCAGAAGACAAAACCTCTGGCTCCAGTAACTGACCCAGATTAGATCCTGCAAAGAAACTATATCTCTATGGATCTGGCCAGGAAGATACCAGAAGTCTACTTCAACTCAACAGAGAACCTACTATGCACTTCTTGCTTAATGAGAGCATCTCCCATGTGGAGAATCATAGCTGTCAGGTAAAGAAGATTTAATAGCTACCAGCTGATATAAGGTTGTAATCTAATCTGTAAACTCATGCAATGAGGATGATCAGCATTACAGGTATCGCCTCTTTAAGACTCTGGTGGCATTCACAGATCATTTACTGTTGTAAGAGTTGTCTATTTAAGGCTATGAGAGGGCGTGTTTCTCTCTCCTAATGTATCTCTCTCATCATGTATCTCATTTCTCTCCTTGTGTCTGTAGCTGAGCAGTAAGGGATTTATCTCCATGTATATGTATGTATATATTTGTATATAAACTACTATTCTATAAAAGGTTTTGTGTGTTGTGTGCTGTGTTTTGCTCCTGGGTTTATCTCATTATAATAGTCACACTGCCAAAACTCTGACAATAGCTTTGATACTTACCCTGAATATCTTGTAAGCATCCCCATCTTCAGGGAGAAAATGCACTGGGCGGCCAATTCTTTCACCCCTCAATGGTTTTTCTGTAGGACAGGGATGAAGATTGAATGCATCCATAAAGAGGTCAACAGAGAAGGTGTGATCCTTCTTGGGAAAGAGGCTGTAAAACTGAAATGAGAAAGAATGCAATGCAACTGATGATGGAGATTTGGGCTAGAGGAACTTCCTGTCCATCAAGCTATCAGCCAATGAAACAGATTGTGCAATAGCAATAGCACTTAGACTTATATACCGCTTCATAGTGTTTTACAACTCTCTCTAAGTGATTTATAGAGTTAGCCTATTGCCCCCAACAATCTGGGTCCTCATTTTTACCAACGTCGGAAGGATGGAAGGCTGAGTCAACCTTGAGCCGGTCAGAACCGAACACCTNCAGCTATTGAGGTCTCCATCCATGCAAGAGTTCCAGAACTCAATCCTGGACGTAGCTTGATTGTAAAAGATCCCTTATCACTTTCTCCCCATTCTAGTTCTTACCGATGTCAGAGCAGTAACGCGGGATGAGTAGCCTGGTGTTGGTAAAAATGTTCACGCCGAAGTCCTACCAGATGAAGCAAAGAGTCACTGAGGAACAGCCCTTTCTGCTCATGAAAACTAATGATCATTGTTTATTCTCAGTACGTTCAATGTACCCAACCTTAAGGAATATATTATTTTCCAAACCGATGTTTTTTTTTCATAATGCTGCATCCTCTGTACATATCGCTGCCCATTTGGGTGGCGCTTAAAGGAACAGACAAGCAACTGATGGAAATTGGCAATACTGCACTGTGCGATTACGACTCTTAACTCTTGGTGCAGTGATCCAATTAACAACTGTAGCAAGTAAAGTCATAAAATAGGGCAAAACTCACTTAACAAATGTCTCCCTTATCAATAGAATTTTGGGCCTCAGTTATGGTCATAAATTGAGGACCACCTCAGGGGTGAAATTCAGCAGGTTCTGACAGGTTCTGTAGAACTGGTAGCGGAAATTTGAGCAGTTCAGAGAACCAGCAAATACCACCTTTGGCAGGCCCCAGAGTGGGCTGGGAATGGGGATTTTCAAGTATCCTTCCCCTGCCATGCCAACCAAGCCACACCCACAGAACCGGTAGTAAAAAAATTGAATTTCACCATTGGACTACCTGTAAGGTCAGATTAAATCTCAGGGCAAATGTTTAAGAAGGACAAATTATTAAGAAAATAAGGAAAGTATATCGTGAATGAAGGTGAAGATATGTATCCCAGGATAATGTTGCAGGATCCAATCTCGGTCAGTTATCAGGACAAGATATTTTGTCTTCCAAGCTTTCAGATTCATGCTGGCGCCCATCTTCAGGGAACATATCTCTACCAGAACGTGTGCTGGTTTCCTGAGGATGGGCTTCAGCACGAGACCCAGAAGACAAAACCTCTGGTCCCTGTGACTGACCCAGATTGGATCCTGTAAGGAAACTATATCTCTATGGATCTGCCCAGGAATATACCAGTAATCTACTTCAGCTCAGAAGATAACCTACTACTCACTTCTTGCTTAATGAGAGCACCTCCCATGTGGGGAATCATAGATTTGATGCTTACCCAGAATGTGTTGTAAATATCCCCATTTTCAGGGAGAAAATGCCCTAGGCCGCCAATTCTTTTACCCCTGGATGGTTCTTCTGTAGGACAGGGATAAATATTGAATGAAGCCACAAAGAGGTCAATAGAGAAGATGTAGTCCTTCTTGGGAATGAAGTTGTAAACCTGAAATCAGAAAGACTGCAAATGAGGATGTAGATTTGGGCTAGAGGAACTTCAAGCCCATCAAGCTATCATTCAATGAAACAGACTGTGCAATAGCAATAGCACTTAGACTTATATACCGCTTCGTAGTGTTTTACAGCCCTCTCTAAGTGGTTTACAGAGTTAGCCTATTGCCCCTAACAATCTGGGTCCTCATATTTACTAATCTCAGAAGGATGGAAAGCTGAGTCAACCTTGAGCCGGCCTGCAGTATCTGCTTTCTAACCACTGCACACCACCCTGGCTCTTGATAGAATGGGAGAATGACCTTGGGAGGTGAGAGAAGGCAGAGAAAGGAGATAAAAGAAGGACAAACCTGAAGCTGAGTAATGGACAGAGAAAGAAATGTAGTGAGGATCCACCCTAATCAATCAGGTGGTAAAAAGAGACAGCAGGCGAGTTGTACTTTCAAATCTGCAAGGTTGATATCAGCTTTCAAAGTACAGCAGACCAAACAATAAACACAATAAGATCAGTTAATTGTAAGGCCACATTAATAGAATCTTGCAAGTCTGAAAGTTATCCGGCCACATCTTTTTAGCAATTGAACAATTAGGGCAGATCCCTTCCACGTTTCTTTCTCTGCTCATTACTTCGTTTCGGGCTCCTTAGGCAGAATCTTTTCTGTCTGTCTTCCAAGGTCATTCTCATGTTCCATTACAAGCCACCCCATGAAATGATGAGTTCTCTTTTACTGGAAATCTCAAAGCAGAGGCCATCTTGGTCTTCTGGCCAAGGTGATCCAGATGATTCTACATTGAGACACCTCTGAGACAGGCTGGGTTAAGAATTCAGGAGTGATCCAAGCAAGCATCTATTATTGATGGAGAACCAGAATTTGGCTTCTTGGTCTGCTTCCTTCCCCAGTACTCCACACTGGCTCTGGGACTCTGTGTCAACTTCAAAGGGAGATTTTGCTGATTGTAGCCATTGCCACTTCTCAGCTGCACAGAGTCGGGTGGAGTGGGGTGAGGGATGTCATTTCCAGACAGCAACAAGAAATCGTCCCCTGGGAACCAAGGTTGTCTAACCAGATGTTCTACTAAGACTTGGGCAGTTTTCCATAACAACAATTGGACATTTAATTGGACAACATGACCTGCAATTATGGGGAGGGAGGGAGATTCTATTCTTTAATTATGTGAAAACCATGGAAACTAGTTAGAGTTGGTTTTGCTTCAGTCTGTGCTGACATGATATACTCAATAAAGTTTAGCATAGATTGGATCATCTCAAGCTTTCTTTGTTGGTTGGTTTTGTCAGTCAGAACCTTGACACTCTGAAAACTGACTCAAAGTTCCTCAGGAATTCTATTCCTAATCCATTACTTTCACCAAAGTAGTGTGTTCACCACAACTTTGCATTATGGCAAATCTCTGGACTGTGATATTGGGCTACCCTCGGTCCACGTGCTTTGTCTTTCTATTTTTCCTACATTTTCTTCCCCTAAAATTAATTTATGGACAATTTTCTTTGCCTCTCCTTCCCTGCATTCCTCCCCTACTTTCTTAAATTTAGTTGTGACTGCTACAGTTAGAACTCACCTTCTCAGGGGAGAGCTCAGCTTCAGGTTTCAAGAGAAAGACACTCTGGTCAACGGCATGGATGGCACAGAGGGAACCGGGGTTGGCTGAAAGATGGAGTTGGGTTTTCTGGCCAGGCAGACGTCCTCGCTCAGAAAACCACAGTTTG